GATATTCTTTAATAATTTCCACATTATGACACAAATCAGTCCAACTTGATGTGGTGATATGCAACTGAAACGAAACATAAAGAGAGGTCCGAATTATCATTCAGTTTATTTTATACTCGTTTTATCGCACTCATTTTTCATATGACGATCATACTAGCCAGTCTCATGCACCCGCAAATCAGTACGTAAAATTCCTTCGGTTGGTTTGGATCAATCAATAACAACTTCGATTTATATTCATGCAAATTACTTTAATTTTATCACATAAATTTTTATTTATTTAATTGAATGTATATCTTTTAACTCGTAATCATCTTATCTATAACTAAGATAAACCTTTTCAGCCATCTTTGTAAGATGTTTCTTGTTAGGCACAACAAGCGCAATTAGGTATGATGACAGCAAATCGCCATAACAGCAGATATTGTCGATTAATGGACAATTCAGCAATGCAGTTTCGATTTTGGCCAACGATACATATTCGCCATGTTGAAGTTTTATTAAGTCTTTTTTCCGATCTAAAAAAGGATATAACTTATTTAAGTCGCTTTCTACTTATTTTAAGATTTTTCTCAGGATTTCAAATAAAACTCAACAGATAATAATATATTACGAATGGAATCAAAAAAATACGGACCAATTATACGAAGTGACCCATCTTCTCGAAATTCACCAATATCACCGGTAGCGAAATATCGCACACCATCAATGACCACGAAATCTTCAGCAGTTTTTTCAAGTTGCTTCCAATAGCCTGCTGATATGTTCGGACCACTGACAAGTACTTCACCTTGAGGAGGATAATTAAACGGAGTGTAGTTCCCTGTAAAAAAGCTAACCTGATAAAAATCATTCCGGAAGAATAAAAATGCAAATCTTTGGATAAATAATGAATAGCAAGTATGATATCTTCGAAAAGCCGCTTATAAAATGCTTACTTGCTACCAGTAGAAAATCACACTTAGATAATGAGTCAGGTAAGAAGATAAAGAAAAATTACCCTCACTCCACTCTCGAAGAAGTATTCGTGAACACCGCACAGGTGGACCAACAGTTCCTGTGCTTAGGTCATTCACTGAAAAGTAAGATATTTGAGTGATATACTTTTTTCATGTTAATAAGTTTTAATTTAATCAAACTATCGTGAAAGTTTTTGATTTAAGTATTTTGTTGTCTCGCAGATATTGTTATTGTAAGTTTATTAAATATTGTTGTAAAGGTTTATTCTTCGTGAAAGATGGGTTTTTTCAGAGAATATCAAGGTAGAGTGGATCACTATTTGGTGATATTCCTGGTAATACTGAAGACCGTCCGTTGTTGGTACAAACGATACTCTTTCTAGCATAAGTAATGATAAAACTTGCGCATCGGATTGAGGCGCACTATATAAAGCCCTTTTAGAGGCAAGGAGAGCTAAGTGGTCAAAAAAAAAACTAGGAGCTAAGTGTCTAACACCTGCAACTACTGACGAACAATCCTCATTATATCTTTCAGACCCAAAGCAACCTAAATGAACAAAGGATTAACTTAAAATATGAAATAATTTAACGAATTGATAAATAATCTTTATGATATAAATTTACATACGAACTGGATAAATCATAAAATTAAAAAAATTTTCTACTTGTATTTTGATTACTTAGATACAAAAATTGTTTTGCAAAAAAATTAAACTTTATTCCTCAATTTCTGGGAAAAGAGTTTGCATTGCTTCTATGGGATTGTTTTCCTTTCGATTTGGAGGCTCAATACATGAAGAATCGATAAGAGATTGAATTAATTCAATTTATGATTTGATAACATTTAGCACGATTGATATTATAGAAATAATTATACCGACGGTGATCAATTTTCATTGTCTTCTTCTGATAATTCTTCTATTAATTTAGTAGCTTTACCGAGTTGGTTTTCCAATTCTCTGGTCAATTCTTCTCCTCGTAGATTTATTCCTTTCCAAAAAGATTCCTTTTTTGGTTTGGTCAGGCACTGGATTGGGTGTTTCGTGTTTCTGGGCCAGTATCTCTAATTCCGCTTTAATTCTCTCGATCTCGAATCTGCACACTTCGATTCCTTTTATTATTATGCCGCTTTTTTGTAACAAAAATTTGGTAGCCAGAGGTGAATTACTAGTTGATACTGTTCGCATAACGTTGCTGCATTTGATCGCAGTATTCGTACGCGAGTTCGGGCGTATAACCCACTTTCAATGAACTCAGAAACTTTCATGAATTCACTGAACAAATTATGATAAAAGACTTAATTAGAGTATGATCAGAAATGAAAGATAAAAAATGCAGTGAAAAGTGAAGCTATAAAAGAATTAATATCCTAGAATACGCTAAGCTATTCTTATTCCAATAATTATGAAATTATAAACTATGGAATGAAAAAGCAATTTCTAACCGTCAGCAATACAAACCGCTGCACATGTCTCAGTTGGCCCATATCCTTGAATAACTGGACAACACATACAAATATTCATGAAACGTTGAGTTTCTGGATTCAGTGCCGCTCCACCACTCACTACACCTCGCAATTTACCACCCAAAAGTCGTCGAATGTTTTTGAAAACAATTCTACAAACAAATTTCAACTGATTTGAAATCGGTAAGGAAATAAAATACACACAAAGTTGTCTTATCAATGAGTGCACAAAAAAACAAATGTCGATATGCCTTTTAACATGCATAATTTATTTCCCCCAAATCTCAAGAAATTTTTGAATGGAAGTTGACACATTTATTGAAAATTTCAAAGAAAACCTGTCCAAAAAGGGACTACAGTATCCTCCCTGATAACGTGTTCGTTTCCGCTCATAACATAATCGAAAAAGTTCTTGCATGAAAAGTGGAGCTGCTGCAACTTCATCGCTTATGGCTTTGAATATCTTATCCATTATTGCCTTAAAAGTAACGTTAATCAACGCTATACCTCGCCCAATTTGAATAAGCATATTAGATTTTCGAATATTTCAGACCTAGATAGACTGCGTCTTTGAATGCTTCTCAATTTGTTTATCAAAAGAACTAACCGGTACTGCCGCCATAATTGTTGGTCTTAACGCTCTGCAATCTCCACATGTACCTGGTTTAATTTTAGCGCCCGAATCATGAAGCGTTAGTGGATTTGAGTAACCAATACAACAACCCCGCATCTGAAACAAAAATTCTTTGAAACCCAAGTCTTCGATTTTCACGAAACTCATTCAATTCACACACTTGAGCCCTGGATTGCTCAGAGAGGAAAAAGCAGAAATTTAATTACTTTCAGTAGCAATTTATTACTCAACCCTTCTCTTCTAAGTTGGAATGTAAATGAGAACATGAATCCATACCACGCATGTCAATTCGGCAGCAAACTCCATAATATGGGCCAGCGGAAGATATCCAATATACACATCGGTATCACAGATGATAGGCATTCCAGCGCCCAGCCCAGCTACCGATGACACGATATTATAATGCGTCAAAATTACTCCCTTTGCAGCACCAGTAGTACCACTTGTATACATTATGACTGCTGTGTCATTTCCTCCCGCAGGCGAAACTTCTGCAAAAATGTTTTATAGAGTTAATTTTTTAACAGATGCATGAAACTATCTGAATCACAGGAATGCCAACAATAAAATGAAATAATAAGACACAAAGAACATTAATAAGCATCAACCTGGAACAGTGTTTTTATGTGCTTCTAACTCATCCAATGAAATAACATTTCGGAATTGCTGTTTAATGACGTCCATTACAGTGATTTTTTTCGAAGGATGCACGGGGCGGAAATAGACTAAGGATCGCAATGTTGGACATTTTTTCCCGATTGCCGCAATTTTTGGCAGAAGTTCTGCTGATGTTACTAACAATGTCGATTCGGTCTCATTGATTGCTTGGGCTATTGCCTGTGAAAAGGAAACAAGATTAGAATTTATAAAATGAATCGGAGAGAATCTTCATAAATTTAGTCCAAGTAATCCAAGAGACAGTTTCAATAAATCTCTCACAATAATTCCAGCACCTGCGTGAATGATCTTTATTTTACTTCATTTAAATAGCAATGTATAGACTAATTATACCTCCTCACCGAGAGTTGCATACACCGTAACAACTGGTACATTGATTCTGAAGAATGCGAATGCGGTAATAAACCAGTCAGCTCGAGTTTCCGAAAAAATTACTGCCTGAAAGGAATTTTTAATTTGAAAGGTGAGCAAGTGTGTGAAACTCATTAATATAAAAGTATGCAAAAAACTCACCCGATTCACTGGACAATCATTTTTCATGATACTTTTTAGACCTGAAGCAATTCGACCAATTTTTTCATGAACTTCGGTAAAGGTTTGCCAATTGTAATTACCCAATACCCACTGAAATTTGTATTCTTATAGAAACTTTTCAATATACAATTATTAATTTTGAAAGTACAAAATATCTCAGAAAGCATACTTTCATAAAAGATTTAAAATATCATTTTATGATTCAGAAAAAGAAAGCACTAACCGAGAAACATTTATTGCACTTTATTCAGAAATTAAATTTCCTACTCTTCATTGAATCTCCAAGAAATTTAAATTTCATAGAAGCTTACTTTCTCGAATATGCGTCCATTCGGCTGTTTTTCTTCGTGTACTTCCAGTAATTCCCGTGTACCCAACGCCAGTTTGTCACTATACAACTTTGCCACATATGTGAACAGTTTATCAGCTGTATCTACACCAGGAAAATCTTTAGTAATTGGGCCATCTATGTTAACCCACGGACTATCAGGACCCTTGATTGGCTTTGCCTAAACATAGAGGATTCAAATGATAGAATTGGAAACAATGTACAGTTCCCGAATGTGACTTTATCGATTGCATTACTCTACCTAAAGGATAATTAGTAATGCAGTTCATTAATAACAGATCTATCTACTTTCTAAACTTTCCCTCCACGAAAAAAACTGCATCTGCCAACTGCAGCAATAATCAATCATCTTTGACAAAACTGTCTGAAATCTTCTAACTAAATAATATGTAAATGAAGACAGCAGTGCGAGATTCATAAATCAAATTATTCTATCAAATAAAAAGAATAACCTTTATCCTTTCACTTAGTATTAATTTAGCCGTTGGTGAATTGAAGAGCTCGTATGGTATATAATTCAGGCAATCATATATAAAAAACCATGCCCGTAAGAGAAGAATAATTAATTGAATCCATAATGGAGAAGTTCCCTGAAACAATTATTATACGATGATTCAACATGATCATTTGAAAAAGTTCATTTCTCACCTTCATCTTTCATTTTTCCTTCCTTAATTTTAAGATTTACTGCGCATTAATATATATGAAGCAAAGTAGAAAATGGTGAACCGAATTGCTTTCGGATGATGCACTACATATGAATGGATTATTCCACTCATTTAAAACAAATATTTCAGTTCTTTTCCATTTCATTTGCATTTTCAAGCCTCATTGTTTGATAATCTCATTTAGAAGAATTTGTTAATTTCCAATCACCACTCCACAACAACTGACACTACTTTTTAATATCTAATTCTACAATTGATTATAAAGTCATTGATTCAAAGTAATAATTTCAAATAAGACTTTCAAATGATATTTTTAAATGAAATTGAGACTAAAATGCCTAATAATATTTTAATTACCATACACTAGAAAATCTTTCATTATAAAATCCACTGAAAGCATTCCGTTTAAAAGGAAGGAATTTCAAATTCAGATACGTTATTAAAAGTAAAAATTTGAAATTAACTAAGTTTTCAAAAATGGCCACTTCACCACAAATTTTAATATACTGCTGTCAAGCTAATAATCACATTTTTTCTTTGAATTACTCACTTTTTCACTAAACATTTGTATGTTAACGATTGATCTGCTCTCATCATACATCGGTTCTTCACCTTTTTTCACTCAAATTGCTCAGCTTTGCAAATTATACCTTAATATATCCTCTCAAACTTCAAACAATAACTGTTTCCATTTTTCGTCACATACATTCTCTACTTTTGTACTGCTCATCTTGATATTTTCTTTCCTTTTTAATTTTATCATTTTACTTTTACCATT